TGCTGAGGTGGGTGATGCCCGGCCTAGCCTGGCTTATCAGTGGCTTGCTAGTTGCTTAAAGGTGTGATTGGCTCTGCTAAGTGGGCGTAGCCCATTTAGCCCAAACATTTGCCCCCCATAAGCTGCTGAGGGCACATGCGACCCAGTGATCAGCTAGATTTGGCCAGATATAACACACCTCGGCATCCACTTAGAACCCACCTATCCCAGTAGCAATCCTGGCGGTGATCCGAGTTCCGAAGAAAAACAACATTACGACGGGAGGTGGTTCCCCGTTTCCGGCCTCTGGAGGCCCTCGCGAGGCCCCAGGGTCGTCAGAAAACTACTCGGCATGACGAGCCGGTCCTTGGGAATGTGCACGAATCACGACGTCGGGATTCTGGGACGGTCCAAGACTTGTTGGGGTGGGCGGGGGGGGTGGGGATCGCCTCTTCCCCCCCTGGGACTCGCCTGCCTGAACAATGTTTGAGCATTCTCGGGCCTTCAGGGGAGGGGCACTGAAGAGAGGGACGATGAGGAGGCGGGTGGTGGTGCATGAGGAGGCGGAAAGGGAGGCTGATGGGAAGCAGAAAGAAGCGGACGGGAGGGGGGGGGGAAGGAGAAGAGGAGGAGGGGGGGACGAGGAGGGGGGAGAGCAGGAAGAGGACAATCCATGAGCGCACCAAAAGGTGGGGGAGGATGAGGATGATGAGGGCAATCCATGGGCGCACCACCTGCACAAGGTGCACCCGCATGGTCGACGCCTCGATCTCGTCCAGCGGATCCAGGTGGCCCGGGAGGGCTGCAGCTGCCTCGTCGCCGACCCTCAGAGGGCTGAAGTGTCAGTGCAGCACGACGGTTCTGCGACCCTCCCCTCTCACTCCCTCCTCCTGTAAGGAAGAGGGTGGTGGAGAATAACAAGCAGGCGTAAGAGGAGGAATGATCGGAGGAGGTGGAACACGCAGGGGAGAGCATAAGATGAAAGAGAAAGTGAAACTTACGGAGAAACTCGAAGTATGAGTCATAGGGAGGATTGGCGAAGGAGGAAGAGGACGGAGGTGACATGATGAGATAGAAAGAGGAATCACATAGTCTGAGGAAGGAAGCGCATATGATAGGAAATGAGACTACACATGATGACAGAAAAGGGAGAGAGGGAGGTGAGGACATGGGATGGAGGAGGAGGGCAGAGACAGAGAGAGAGAGGCACATACACATATATAGATAGAGACTACGCAAGGTCACACAATAAGCATGTGCATACGCACACATATATATATATATATACATGTGCATACCATGTGCATGTATACTTACACATGTCCATACCATGTGCACATATATATATGCCTGCATTTATGTGCGTGTGTAAGTATATATGTGTGTAGATACGTACGTCGTTGAGTACGCATGTGTGTACGTATGTATGTATGTTTGTCTATATGTATGTATGCATGTCTGTGTGCCAGTGTGCCTGTATGTATGCATTTATGTATTTATATATGTTGCGCCCGTGAATATGTATGTATGCATGCATATATGCATGTCTGCATGCATGCATGCACGTATGTAGGTATGCATTGATGCATGCATGCATGCATGCATGCATGCATGTATGTGTGTATATGTACGTATGCATTATGCATGCATGCATGCATGCATGTATGCATGTATGTATGTATGACTGCATCTATGTATGTGCGTATGTATATATATATATATATATGTGTGTGTATGTATGTATGTATGTATGTATGTATGTATGTATGTATGTATGTATATATGTATGTATGTATGTATGTATGTATGCATGTATGTATGTATGTATGTGTGTATGTATGTATGTACAGCTGGCGCGGCTGGAGTATGCGGCACACTTGGCGCACGCGGAGCGCGTGGCGCATCTGGCGTACCAAGCGTGCCTGGCACGCTCGGGCCCTGGGGTGCCTGGCGCGTGTCGCGCGCCTGGCACACGTGGCGCACCTCGTCACAGCGTCAAAGCGTCGCGCACATGGGGTCGGTGTTGGTTCCCAATTGCTGTACATCCAAAGGCGACCGCTGAACATGCTCAGGCTCGGGTGTTACTTATGTGTTGGGAGGGCGGGCGGGAGTGAGCTAGACAGCTTGCTCTCTAGGGGGGTTCTTGATCACTGTTCCCTATTAGTATACACCCCCCCCAGGCGACTATGAGCCAACCCGAGACCATGCGCCCCCCCCCGCCATCCCGGGTTAAAAAACAACAGCAAATCTCACTCTGCCTCCAAATTCGGAACATGCGCAACGAACCCGATGCGGCCTCCCCCCACCATCCCTACCAAAAACATTACAAAGTACACTTGGCGGCGGCGGCGGCGGCTGCGGTGGGGGCAGCGGCTGTGGCGGCTGCGGCGGTGGCGGCGGCGGTGGTGGCGGCGGCGGCGGGGGCGGCGGCGGCGGTGGCGGCGGCGGTGACGGCGGCGGCTCGCGTGTCGGCGGCGCGTGCAGCGGTATTGGGTGGCGCGCAGCGCTGCGCGCCCGGCAGCGGCAATGCGGCGGCGGCGGTTCGGCAGCGGAGGCGGCGGCGGCGGCGGCGCGGCGCGGGGAGGCGGCGGCGGCCGGCGGCGGCGGGGGGGGGCGGTCGGGAGGGGGGTGTCCGGCGGCGACAGTGGCGGCGGCGGCGGCGGCGGCGGCGCGGCGGCGGCGGCGCGCGGCGGCGGCGGCGGCGGAGGCGGCGGCGGCGGCGGATTCGCCCACAGTAGCTGCCCATCCCAAAACAACTGCTGAATATGCAGCGGTTCGGGCCAGGCTCGGGTGCTACGTATGTGTTGGGAGGGCGGGTGGGAGTGAGCGAGACGGCTTGCGGGCGGGGAAGGAGTCTTGATCGCTGCTCCCTACTAATAAACACCCCCTCGCCCAGGCGACTGGGGGCCAACCAGGGTCCATGACAACGCCCCCCCCCCACCATTCCTTGTAACATTATCCCGGCAAAGCAACCTAACAGCGATGTGTAGAAGCATCTCTGAATGCATTCCCCTTAAGATTCAGATGAAAATCCAGTTGTAGAATTCTGCTGTTCTCGCAGTCGTAGTCGCATTCGCGATGACAGTCGCAGCGGCAACGGCAGTCGCAGTCACAGCCTCAGCCTCAGCCTGCCTCAGCCTCAGCCTCAGCCTGCCTCAGCCTCAGCCTCAGCCTGCTTCAGCCTCGGCCTCAGTCTGCCTTCAGCCTCGGCCTCAGCCTCAGCCTGCCTCAGCCTCAGCCTGCATCAGCCTCAGCCTCAGCCTCAGCCTGCCTCAGCCTCAGCCTCAGCCTGCCTCAGCCTCAGCCTCAGCCTGCTTCAGCCTCAGCCTCAGTCTGCCTTCACCTCGGCCTCATCCTCAGCGTGCCTCAGCCTCAGCCTGCATCAGCCTCAGCCTCAGCCTCAGCCAGCCTCAGACATTCAAAAATGGGGCCCAGGAATGGAGTTCTGGGAACTTGAAGAGCACGAAGTGGCTCACAGTTGGCTCCGGGCATCCAAAATGTGGCCCGGGAATGGAGTTCTGGGAAATAGAAGAGCACGAAGTGGCCTACAGTTGGCTCCGGGCATCCAAAATGTTGCCCGGGAATGGAGTTCTGGGAAATCGAAGAGCACGAAGTGGCCTACAGTTGGCTCCGGGCATCCAAAATGTGGCCCGGGAATGGAGTTCTGGGAAGTCGAAGAGCACGAAGTGGCCTACAGTTGGCTCCGGGCATCCAAAATGTGGCCCGGGAATGGAGTTCTGGAGCACCAAGAGCGATTTTGCGAGGATGTCCCAAGCGATTTCGGCTTCGGCGGCAGCCTCCCCGGGTCCCGCCCAGACCCCCCTGAGGAGTCATGATGCTCTCTTTTGAGACCACTAGAAACCTATCAGCAAGAGCTGTTAGGTAAAAATTATCCCGGCAAAGCAACCTAACAGCGATGTGTAGAAGCATATCTGAAAGCATTCCCCTTAAGATTCTGATGAAAATCCAGTTGTCGAATTCTGCTGTTCTCGCAGTCGTAGTCGCATTCGCGATGACAGTCGCAGCGGCAACGGCGGTCGCAGTCACAGCCTCAGCCCTCAGCCTGACACAGCCTCAGCCTCAGCCTGACACAGCCTCAGCCTGCCTCAGCCTCAGCCTCAGCCTGCTTCAGCCTCAGCATCAGTCTGCCTTCAGCCTCGACCTCAGCCTCAGCCTGCCTCAGCCTCAGCCTGCATCAGCCTCAGCCTCAGCCTCAGCCTGCCTCAGCATCAGCCTGCTTCAGCCTCAAAGCCTCAGCTGCCACAGCCTCTGCTCAGTCTGCTCAGCTTAGGCCTCAGTTGCCTTCGCTCGGCCTCAGCCTGCTCAGCCTCAGCCTGCCTCGGGCCGCAGCATCAGAAGGCATACAGCATTCAAAAATGTTGGCCCGGGAATGGAGTTCTGGGAACTCGAAGACCACGAAGTGGCCTACAGTTGGCTCCGGGCATTCAAAATCTGGCCCGGGAATGGAGTTCTGGGAACTCGAAGACCACGAAGTGGCCTACAGTTGGCTCCGGGCATCCAAAATCTGGCCCGGGAATGGAGTTCTGGGAACTCGAAGACCACGAAGTGGCCTACAGTTGGCTCCGGGCATCCAATATCTGGCCCGGGAATGGAGTTCTGGGAACTCGAAGACCACGAAGTGGCCTACAGTTGGCTCCGGGCAGGGAATGGAGTTCTGGAGACCAAGAGACATTTTGCGAGAGATTGTCCAGGCAATTTTCGGTTCGCGGTCGGCCGCCGTTCGGGTCCGCCCAGACCCCACCTGATTGTGAGTCATGATTCCTCTTTGAGACCATAGAAACTTCAAGTTCAGCAAGAGCTGCAAGGTAAAAACAATGCAAACCACCACTAGGCTCCAAATTCTGGAACATGCGCTATGCCAAACCCGATGCGGCGCCCACATCCCTGTCAAAAATGTTACCACAACGGCAAAGCAACCTAACAGCGATGTGTAGAAGCATATCTGAAAGCATTCCCCTTAAGATTCAGATGAAAATCCAGTTGTCGAATTCTGCTGTTCTCGCAGTCGTAGTCGCATTCGCGTTGACAGTCGCAGCGGCAACGGCAGTCGCAGTCACAGCCTCAGCCTCAGCCTGCCTCAGCCTCAGCCTCAGCCTGCCTCAGCCTCAGCCTGCCTCAGCCTCAGCCTCAGCCTGCTTCAGCCTCAGCCTCAGTCTGCCTTCAGCCTCGGCGTCAGCCTCAGGCTGCCTCAGCCTCAGCCTGCATCAGCCTCAGCCTCAGCCTCAGCCTGCATCAGCATCAGCCTGCCTCAGCCTCAGCCTCAGCCTGCCTCAGCATTCAAAATGTGGCCCAGGAATGTAGTTCTGGGAACTCGAAGAACACGAAGTGGCCTACAGTTGGCTCCGGGCATTCAAAATCATTGCAGGACGTGGAGGTTGGGCACGTCGAAGAGCACGAAGTGGCCTACAGTTGGCTCGGAGCTTCCAAAATTGGCTCAGGGGGTCCTACTCGTGATGGGAGCGAAATAAGACCCCCGAAGTGCCTGAAAGTTGGCTCTGGGCATCCAAAATCCTGACCCGGTCGAATGGGAGTTACTTGGGGAACCTGCATGAACCACGAAGTGGCCTACCGTTGGCTCCGGGCATTCAAAATGTGGCCCGGGAATGGAGTTCTGGGGACTCGAAGACCACGAAGTGGCCTACCGTTGGCTCCGGGCATTCAAAATGTGGCCCGGGAATGGAGTTCTGGGAAGTCGAAGAGCACGAAGTGGCCTACAGTTGGCTCCGGGCATTCAGAATGTGGCCCAGGAATGGAGTTCTGGGAGGTCGAAGAGCACGAAGTGTGTGACTGTTGGCTTAAAACGACTTCTGCGGCACCTTGTCCGGCACCCGCCCAGACCCCCCTGTGGAGTGATCTGTGAGCTCTTTTGAGTCAACTAGAAACCTATCAGTCTTCGCTGTTAGGTAAAATAATAACCGGCAAGAAGCGAAGCTATCGCGATGTGTAGAAGCATATCTGAAAGCATTCCCCTTAAGATTCAGATGAAAATCCCGTTGTCGAATTCTGCTGTTCTCGCAGTCGTAGTCGCATTCGCGATGACAGTCGCAGCGGCAACGGCAGTCGCAGTCACAGCCTCAGCCTCAGCCTGCCTCAGCCTCAGCCTCATCCTGCCTCAGCCTCAGCCTGCCTCAGCCTCAGCCTCAGCCTGCTTCAGCCTCAGCCTCAGTCTGCCTTCAGCCTCGGCCTCAGCCTCAGCCTGCCTCAGCCTCAGCCTGCATCAGGCTCAGCCTCAGCCTCAGCCTGCCTCAGCATCAGCCTGCCTCAGCCTCAGCCTCAGCCTGCCTCAGCCTCAGCCTCAGTCTGCTTCAGCCTCAGCCTCAGTCTGCCTTCAGCCTCGGCCTCAGCCTCAGCCTGCCTCAGCCTCTGCCTGCCTCGGCCTCTGCCTGCCTCGGCCGCAGCATCTCAGCCTTGACCTCAGCATTAAATGTGGACCACGGAATAGAGTTGTTTCTGGGAATACTAGAGAACACGCAGTGGAATCATTTGCATAGGAATGGATTCTGGGAACTTGAAGAAACACGAGAAAAAACAAACAAAAAAAAAAAAAAAAACCTGGCCTTACATCTACATTCCGGCATCCAAATTTTGGCTCCGGGAATGGAGTTCTGGGAAATCCGAAGAGCACGAGGTGCCTACAGTAGCTTCCGGGCATCCAAAATGTGGCCCGGGAATGGATTTCTGGGAAGTCGAAGAGCACGAAGTGGCCTACAGTTGGCTCCGGGCATCCAAAATGTGGCCCGGGAATGGAGTTCTGGGAGCACCAAGAGCGATTTTGCGAGGATGTCCAAAGCGATTTCGGCTTCGGCGGCAGCCGTTCCGGGTCCCGCCCCGACCCCCCTGTGGAGTTATCTGCTGCTCTCTTTTGAGACCATTAGAAACCTATCAGCATGAGCCTGTTTCTTAGGTAAAACACTAGTACACTTGAGCAGCCGGCGGCGGCTGCGGCGGCGCGGCGGCGGCGGCGCGGCGGCTGCGGACGGTGCGGCGGCGGTGGCTGCAGCGGCGGCGGCGCGGTTTTTGGCAGCGGGGGGGCGGCTAGGCGCGGCCGGGCGGCGCGGCGGCGGCCGGCAGCGGGCTGCCGGCGGCGGCGGCGGCGGCGCGGGCTGGCGGCAGGGCGGCGGCGGCGGGCAGCGGCGGCGGCGGCGGCGGCGGCGGCGGAGGCGGCGGCGGCGGCGGCGGCGGCGGCGGCGGCGGATTGGCCCCCAGTAGCTGCCCATCCAAAAACGACTGCTGAATATGCTCAGGCTGAGTCTTGACTCCTCCCCATACCCCCTCCCCTGGACCTGGAGGGGCGGGGGGGGCAGGCGCGGCGGCGGGCAGCGGCGGCGGCGGCGGCGGCGGCGGCGGAGGCGGCGGCGGCGGCGGCGGCGGCGGCGGCGGCGGATTGGCCCCCAGTAGCTGCCCATCCAAAAACGACTGCTGAATATGCTCAGGCTGAGTCTTGACTCCTCCCCATACCCCCTCCCCTGGACCTGGAGGGGCGGGGGGTCGCGAGCGGTCCGAGCACTTGAGGTGGCCCAGGACGGCTCCAAGAAGGCCTCCGAGAGCCCAAACTAACTTCCAAAACGGCCCGCAATAACCTCTAAATCTGATTCAGTTCTAGCTTTCAGGCTGCCCTGGAAAGCCTAAGACTGCTCCGAGACGGCTCCAAGTGGCCACGGAGCCTCCCCTGGAGGCCGCCAAGAGGCCAGAACCCTTCAAATAGACCTAAGGCAAATCAATGATGTTCGTTCTCTCGCCTGTTTGCTTTCGACGGTCTTCCGAAGCCTTAGTATGCCTCCAAGGTGGCCCGAGAGGGCCCCAAGAAAAAAACACCCAACGCGCCCCAAGACTGCCTAAACAACGCCCAAAAGCGCCCCATGAACGCTCCAGAAAAAGTGCAAAAGGCTATTGTGGGGTTCCCGAAGGGGGGGCGTAATTGAAGCGATCCCTTCTTTGGTCGATATGCTCCAAGGTGGCCTCAAGAGCGCTCCCGAGGCTCCCAAGAGCGCTTCAAGAGGGCCCCAGGAAGCGCCCAGGAGGCCCCAAGAGGCGCCCAAGAGGCCCCCAAGCAACTTTCAAGAGACCCCCAAGGGGCCCCAATATGCTCCCCGAGGCACCGAAAACGCTCCAAGAGGCTTCTGGGACCGCAGAGGCCCCCAAGACGCACCCAAAAGCCCCCAAACTCACCATTGTCGTCGTTCTCCTCCTCCTCCTCCTCCTCCTCCTCCTTCTCCTCCTCCTCGTCCTCGTCCTCGTCCTCGTCCTCCTCCTCCTCCTCCTCCTCCTCCTCCTCCTCCTCCTCCTCCTCCTCCTCCTCCCCTTCATCCAGCTATGTCTTCCCCTCCCTCCTCCCTCCTCCCCCTCCTCGCTCCTCCCCCTCCTCCTTCTCCTCCTCCTCCTCCTCCTGATCCTCCTTCTCCTCCTTCTCCTCCTCCTCCTCTTCCGCCTCCTCCTCCTCCTCCTCCTCCTCCTCCTCCTCCTCCTCCTCCCCCTCCTCTCCCTCATCCCCTCGTCCTTCTTCCCCGCCATTCCGAATTCGGCAGGTCCGCGAAGGCGCATACGATGCGCTCTGATGAGGGGGCCCCACAACACACAAATACATACACACAAATAGCAGGATTCACACTATTTTCCAATATTTTTAGGTGTTCGTCTCCCCCCCCACACTTCCTATCATTTCCCATATTTTCGGGGGAATCGAAGATTAATTGTGTCTGTGTGTTTTTCCCCTCCCCATCTTAGGTCTGCGCAGGCTGATCCAATACCTCAATTCGACGGCTTCCCCAATTCTTGATCCACTGCCTGCTCCTCCGCTTCACTGGTCACGGCCACTCGTCCGCAAGCGAAGGCGCAAGCGGAGTCAGGAGCGCTACGGGTCACGACAGCAGCCTAATTAGCAGCTAGACTCGCCGCAAGCCGGCCGGCCCACTCATACAGCAGCGGCTGGCTGCGCGGGAGGAGCTGCAAGCTGGGGGCGTGCTGGTGGGGATACGCGAAGCGTCGCAACTTGAAGTCTTCACAAAACGCCACGAGCCTCGTCCTCAGATCATCCTGGGCCCATGCTAAGCCATCTCCAATGCAGTAGTAACCTTTGCAACGTAGCACCACCCATACCATGTTTGCGGATATTGCAGTGCCAGGTCTCCGCATGGGCGCCGTCCGTGATCATCTTGAGCGCTCGTCCATCGATAAGGGGCACTGGCGAAGCAGAAGCGGAAGAAAACAACGGTAGTGGGGTCACCGTCGGCACGCCACTGCGGGGATGTCGATTGCAGTCAACACCGAAGGAGCCGAAGACAACAGAGAAGGGCGCCACTCTACGCATGAACCGCTGGAAATCACCCAGCGGCGTGCACCTCCGGCAAACACCGATTCTATGACCCCAGCCCTCTGGAGGTACGTCGCCTGCGCCATAGCTTGTACTGCAGGCCACCGAAGCAAGTCTATGGGGCGAGCGACAGATCCTCGTGCTTGGGTGCCCTCCCGCCTTGTGCAGCTATCTCAGACATGTAATGGAAGACGCGACGGAGACCACTCCGGAGCGGCGATGGTCTCCAGGATGTGCTCACAGCGGCGCCGTGCATCGGCGAGGGACCACCCGCGCGACGTGAGAGCAGCACCATGCCAACAGCACAAGGTAGGATCACGACCAGCCTTAGGCTCCAAGCGAGGAGTAGCATCCGATTCTCCGTGATCCCGCCGTTCTGACGATGGAAGAAGAGCTGGGCATCAGCTCAGCGTTCCCGAAGAACTGCGGCACTCTGCATTCCCAACGCTTTCCAACTTGATCTGGAACGGACTATGGTTGAGCCCCACGTGCGACTCATTAGACCCACCAGAGGCAGCAGGAACATGACAGTGCATCCAGTGACCTTTTTAGGAAGGCGGAGGGCACCAAACGCTTGGACAACACGCCGCCCTGCGACAGCCACGACTCCGATTAACTGCGCAATGAAGGTGCGGCCGATATGTTCCCCGGCGAGCTGGTGCACGTCGATCTTCACATCTTTGAATAATT